TTCTATTTAAATTCAGAAATTTATCACGTTCAGTGTGAAAAAAACGTCTGTCTCATCTCTAAAGTACAGTGTGAATATGAGACAATTCTTAAATATGTCCATTTATTTAAGATAGTCGTTTCATAATCGCTTATAATCATATTGAGAACTATGTAGTTATTTCGGAAAACTCATAAACATATATATATATAGACTTTGCTTGTATAAGGCGTTTAATGAGACTGCTGAATTTTATAATTTTGATTAGTGAGTGATTTTAATGCGACAACCATTAACAATCAGGGAGCAGTGGACAGCTTTTTGGTCCTATTATGAAATTCCTCATCAGTGCACGTTAAAGACTTTACCAAATAATAAACTCAGAACAACTGAGTAGTCTAAAGGTCAGATTGCTGACACAAGCCGTAAAGATCCAGAGTTCAATCCATTATTGGGTCATGGATACGCACTTATGAGGAGTCCCGTATTAAAAACGAAACATCTGTCTAGGATTTCCAGGTTATTACTCTCTTTTAGATTGATAAACAAAAGCTAATTTTTTCAACTCTTTTAAACCAATTGACCATTTAAATGAACAATGGTTCATAATTTATCTGGTTTTGTCACCTATATACTGCACGGATTATAAGGTAATCTGTCTTCTATTCAAACATCATGATTGGTTTCTCATGTATTAACTAGCTGGATGTTATAAGATTAACACCCACAACACAAGTGTACTTTATTATTCTTTCGATTGTAATTCCTTAGCTTCATTCCCTAAACAAGTGAGAACAGCAGTAAAAAGCAGGATGTTTATCACCACTATGAGAAATTTTGATGTACCGTAAAACTAGCTACTGATTGTGTAAGTTTCGGAGCACTGGTCTACAACTTAGATATTTTTGGAAAATTATTTTCCAGTTTATTGTTTCTATGTAATGTATGTAATTTTCTTACAATTTCTGATAGTTCATGGTTTACTTCAACTAGAATAAATTGCTTTTATCGTTAAAATCATGAGCTAATCTTAGCCAGAGCACAGTTGAAATCCTGGAATTACTATATGGCTGTTTCTTCATAGCATGGGATTCCTAGAAAGTGCGCATCTTTGATTCTGAGCCTAACAGTTGAAACCAAGTCTCTCAGTCTCGAATGCGAACACTTAACATCTAAACTACTAAATTAGCATCCATTGGTATCAAGGCGTAACTTCAGTCAATCCATGAAATTTCGCAATCAGTCATCTACTTCCTCCAATGGATATCTGTGTCCTTCCCGACACGGACTGAACTCTACTCGTTATGGCTTATCACTACAATCCGAAAAGCTGTATCATGAATCTGGTCACTTGTGAGTAAACGAGTGTCATTAATATAAGGGATTTATGGAGATTGTATTATTTTCACAGCTTAAATCCCATATTCTAATAGAATAAATCAATCAGTTGACACTTAGAATATAATGTTGTTGTATTCTATCTTAAGGTAACTCTAATTTGATTACATTATCTATAGACAAACTGAATTTTCATTCATTCAGTCAGTTAGATGCAACGTAGAACTTCATACGTAAGTACATCAGTTCATCTTGCCATACCACATTAACACACAGATGTAATTGTCAATTCAAAGCCAATAGTAGTAGAGGTAGTAAAGGTATTAGAAGTAATCGGAGAGGTCAGGATTAGAAGATATTATTCAAGAAGTATGATTCAGTGAGATAAGTTTAGAAAGAAAAAACTAGAGGTGTTGAGGAATCCAGAAGATTAGGGTTTGAGAGGACACAAAGAATAAATACACCGGCACCACTGCAAATGGTTTTAAGCCATGTCATTCAAAGTCTCTAACCATCGATTATTATCATCTCACGGGCCCCAACTAGGCAGTTGACAACTACCGACATGACTCAGTTAACTTGTCAGTGATTTCATGGATTGCTGCCCTAACTTTCTTCCAACCTACTCCTACACCACGAAACAAAGCTCGTCAAGGCAGTAGGTGGTTAGACATACGCAACACATGTCCCAACCATCTCAACTGATGAAGCTTCAGTACTTCATCTATTCATCTGCCATTCTTACCTATCACCCGTTTCCTACGTTTAATTTGTTTATTTCAATGCTTGTTCCCTTTTTTCCTTTTTCTATTAAACTCTTGAGGTGATTTACTTTCTAATTTTTTTTTACGTAGACACATACTTTTTTACAATGAAAGAAATACTTTCCAAAGTTTTTCACACTCTACATTGATTCATCTCTTTAGAGTTCATTTCTACTTTTGATCAAAGTTTTGACATTGTAAGCTTAAAAACAAAATTAGTTCACTTTTTTTCAACAACTTCTATGATCAAAACATGTAAAATAATTGATTTCTGAATTTAAAATAAGTATGACAATCATCATCGTTTTGTTGATTGTAGTGAAAAGTTGTGCGTGTGTGTGTGCGCTTGATGACGGAAATCTCTAAAATTATTTTTTCATGAAGTAGTATTGTGGTGCGCGCTACTTATAATTAGTATATAACGCAAGTGAAAACGTAATGTCTGGCAGCAGAAGATGGGGGGAAGATCAAGAAAGGAAGAGTGGGAACATAATGGAATTTGTATGAAATGTATGAATAAGTGAAATGTCAGACAATGGATTGATGACGGATTGAAGATTTGCAAAATTAACGATTTACGATATGGTTTTCCTATTTTACTGAGTAACTCTGTAATTTTTGTTAAATACAATTCGGTTGCCCTCACCTGTGTTCTCCTTCACTACAGTATTTCACTGGTGTATAATCAATTCCAGCCTTCAGTATTAGCAGCAGAGAAATAAAAATTCTTAAGAAATAAAACTCATGCTCACTGTACAAGTGAGTAGTATTCTAAACTCAATAGCTTATTGATCAATAAAAAAAGAAAGGCATACTCTGGATTTTCCACATAGCCAATATCTAACATACTCTAAAAGATAAAATCACACAACTAGCCTAAAAACTTTGATCTTGTTTTCTAAGGAAGAACATTCGCCATTGGTTAAAATGGTGACATTATTTCTAAAGCAGAAAGATGAAAATGAGTGTACATATGTTCTCTATTTGTTTTTAGTTAATCAAACTTTCTTGTCACACTGAATTAACTAGTTTGGACTTTATCCTAGATTACTTCATGATTATATTTATTCACGCATCATATATTTCTGTCAAATATTTCTAAAATCAATTAGCACATTTAATTCATGTTCACAAGATTCACTTAGAGTTGATGTTAGTTTTTCGTAGCTTCGGTTGACAAAGATTCTATGCTTCAAAATAAGAATTTAGTTGAGTTATAATTGATAAATTAGTGTTAAGAGCAATAGCTCAGTCATTATAATCCACTCTTTATAGTTATTTTATCCACTTCTCAATCTTTGCAGTAAATATTCACACAAGTGTTTAAACAACTGATTGAACTGTAGCAGCTTAACAGACATTGAATATGAAGGAATAGAGTGAACAAGCCTTTTTGTATGTTGCTATAATAATTTTTTATAGATGAAGACATGCATAACATATTAGAAGTATTAAACTGAAAGCTACCAGATTTGATAGAGACCTCAATTTGTCTTTGTTACGCCTACACGTAAACACATCAACTTGATATACTTGAACTATTACGAGTTTACCAAGTCGGAAAACGAGAGCGAGGATCGAGGATCCGGCGACACGACATACTACTCAAATCCGATTATCCCAACCCCCATATTCAGTAAATATAAGAAGACGTGATATGAAGTAGAACATGTATTCTACAAGCATCCAGAAAGTGCGAGGTCCGAATCCAGAAGAGAATCAGGACCCCGGAATAGGGATCCGGGACCGAGCCCTGGTCCTGGTCCTGGTCATAAAACGTTACAGATAATGCGTATTTATACATTTTGGTCGAATAGGAAACAGCATTGACAGTTAAGACGACCAATAGGAAGTGACATTTGAAATGACATTGATAGTCAGGACAACTAATAAGGAAGAACATTTGAAATGACATTGACAGTCCGGATGAACAATAAGAGACAACATTGAAGTATTTGACTTTGACAGTTAAAACGACAATAATTCTGACCAATAGAAATCGACCAATAGGATTTGACCAATAATTCTCTTAGGATGTTGGATGAATATCCTAACAGTCTTTTAAATCATTTAATTTGATATCTGATGATCATTAATATTTAAATTCAACATTTCTTCCGTATCTTTTATCATACGTAATAATTATGTATTTATATAATTGATCAAATTTGAGAATTGCATGAAATTCTAATGGGAAAGTACTTGCTCCTAATAGAGTTCAAATTTTCAAAAGTGATAGTATGATATTACTCATATCAAAAAAGTCATGGCAGTATAATTTAAAGCGACAAATGCGCTCGGAAGTGTGCCGCGTTGCTTTCAATTGGTTGACTATATATATATATATATATATATATATATATATATATATATATATATATAATGACTGCAATAAATGATTGATCAATTACATAACAATCTAATGACACATTGAAATCAATAATCAGTCATTGTCAGACCACCATTAGAAGCACCTAGAAGCACTGAACGGCCGTTTCGTCCTGGTATAGGACTCATCAACAGTGTGCACCCACGACTTCACGACCTTCGGTCTTGCGCGCGAACGCCTTACCTCTAATTGAAAAATCTCTTTACACCATTATTTAAACAAACTGAATAATTTTCACTCAAAACATCTTATTTTATTATTTTGTTTTTCGTTATACTAAATGAGAATTTTGAAACGACGAAGAAAACATGCAGCTATAAAGTAGACAAAAATTCAGTGCTGCTGCATTGTTTTCCAGAATCACATGGAAATTTTCATGATCATATCCTGTGAGATAAAGGAATTCAACATCTAATCAATGTTTACATAAAAATCTTGTTTACTTTGTAATTTTTTGTCATCATATATATATTGAATTATTTTAACAAGCTATTATTTCCTGTGTAATTGGTTTTGCTTTATTTTAATAGTTATTATCGTGGTGCAGTTGGTGCTCTTCTAGTTTATGACATATCGAAACCGCATACATTTTTCAATTTAGACAAATGGTTAGAAGAATTGAAAGAATATGCTTCAGATGATATTGTAGTTATGTTAGTGGGCAATAAATGTGATTTGAAACATTTACGTTGTGTATTAACAGAAGATGCTCGAAAATTTGCAGAAGGAAAAGGTATATCATTTATGGAGACATCAGCATTAGACTCGGTCAATGTTGATGAAGCGTTCAATCAAACACTTGAAAGTACGTAGATGTCGTTTTAGTTTTTCTGTCTTCTATTAAAAAAAACAATCATTTGAGGCCAAAAGAATATCTTGTTTGTACTCATTCAAGAAGAAGTATTTGAACAAGTAATAGACAATATTATTTATGAACCAGTCCAATGTTCAGACCATCGAGGTTGATAAAGCTTCGTTTGGTGACGTCGGTTGGTGTCTCTGGAAACAGTATTCTTTCGAGAAGCACAAAGCGATTGCGTGGATATGTTTTGTAGGGAAACATAGCCCCGTGGATTTTGGTACGTGTGCGTCGCACCAGGAACAAGCGTACATTACATACATATCAAATAGACCTCAGCTCTAAATCAACATATCACATGACACACTCCCGAGGTTATGTATCCGTTACATGCATACTAGAAGCTAATCAGTTTTCACGTATATATCCATTCGTATGAATACAGGTATAATCAGCTCTGGGAGAGCAGACTGTCATCACTCAAATGAACGTATTTGTTACCACAGAATGTCTCTCATGCTCCACATGTATATCACTGGTATTCAAGCTTTCGAACAAGCACTTCATGATATAATTATAAGCACAAGTACTCTATTCACCATTGATTTTTTTCATCCACAAAACTTTAAAGATTTGTGTTTTATTGATTTTGGCAGTCTCACGTTTTCATAGTATTGCGTACTATTCAGTTAACGTTGCTTTTGATGTGAGCTGACGAGCGTAAAATATGCATTTTCCTACGTACATTTATTATATCGTCAGAAACCCATGCATTTCATATACGGAAGCATATATATCGAGCAGTCCTTTTGGTTTTTAGATTTGATCTACGAAAGACTCTGTAATCGGTAACTCTGTTGAGGTTGATGGTAATTCTGATCTTCAGTGACTGTCGAAGTTAGCTCTATGGGTTGCTCTCAATACCCAGCTGCACCATGAAGAGGTCCTCCTAGGTTGGATTTCGCAGTACACTGTCCAAAAATTTTCAAAAGAATCAACTATTGTAATATTCTAATTATACTTTCATAATAATAATAATAATATTTTTGTTCTAATTTAATTTTTGTTATTAGCTATTTATAGAGTTATGAGTAAGCATCCATCATTTAATACCGATGATACAAATATTACGCCGACAAATAATCTACCTATTGAAGAGCCAGATTCAAAACAATCAATCAGAAAAAAATTCTGCTGTGCATAGAATCGGTAATCAATCATATATTACTCTTTTCTACTTTTCATTACATTTGTTTGTGTTTATCCGATTACTTCTTTTGTTATAATTAATAGATTGTTTCATGTTCAGTTGAAGTTAGAAAATTGATCAAATGCTTTTTTGAACAACACAGATTATATTTGTTTATATTTTCAAGCATAATTTGTATTTTTTTTTCTAGCGCACTGCTTAGAAAATGTTTACTCATTTTGTGCACTTATTAAAAATGAAGCATTGTATACAATTATTGTATTTTTCAAATGAGTTGAATTTTGCCGCTGTAGTTTATTTTTGAAGTGAAATTAACATATCATTGATATTATCATTGATCTTTGGACTTAAGAGATTTAGAACTGCAACAAATCAAGAGGCTGAGATCATTGTTGGTTTGCATTTACTTGGTCGAATTTCAGTCTTAGATAGGAATTTTAACGTCAATATAGACACGTGACATAAAAAGTCAGAAAATAACGTTAAAAAGATATTACAGACTAACCCGAACAATTTAAATTCTTACCATGCAGAGAGATGTCACTGAAAATCAGTTTTCATCTATAATAACTCATGAAACATGGATGGATATGACTTGAGAAGTAGGGTTCATTGTTATTTGATCTGAGATTCACATACCTGGATAATACCTTCTTCTGAAGCTACAGACACCAATCATAGTAATATTTGATAAAATCCGATTGTCTCAATAATCAACAACTTCCTATCAGCCAAGATGATCTACATTAAGAGCTGCACCTAGGTCACAATCCTGCCAGGTTACTGAGATTTTTCTTCAAACCGAAAGGCACTAAGCAATTGATTGGATAAATATTCCACCCTCTAATATGTAATGACGCATAAATAAACTAAAATGCAGGTGACATTGCTTTTGATATTCCTGGGGTTTCACAGGTCACTCCTAGCTGAATACTTCAAAATCTCACTTACTAATCACGGTTATGAGGATGTGATACTGAAAAGTGGTCTTACAAACAAATTTTTGATACCACCAAAAGATCAAGACTGAAGGAAGGCCAAGAACATCAGAAGGATGAGAATACTCCATTCATCTAATACAGAGGGTAAAGTCTTCGGCTATGAGGGAATATCGTCATCTAGCTGTTTGACCATAAGGATGACGACGGCAAAGTGTGGATGGTCACTGGAAGATAGTGAGGAGCATTATCCAAGGAACTATCTTGGCTTACATCACTGAAATGAAATATACAGCTTTCAGCTAACTTTATTATGTTGTAACACACTATGTTCACTTAGAAATTAGGATATACTGTTTGTTGTCCGTGCCACACAGTAACAATAATATTTATTCTCAAATAAGAGTCTGTTATGATATACATGCCAGTTTACAGTAAAGATCAAGTTGTAACAAATGCTACCAGATTCAGAGCAAGAAGTCGCGCAGTTAGATTAACAATTAATCTTTTCCTGACGTAGAAATTTTACGCCATTTCGACGACAGGAACAGTCTAATAAAAGCACATTTTTCATAAGTGATTATAAATAAGGTGCGTATACAGCTGAGGTCTGGGTTGGTGTGCATTATTCAGGAGTGAATTTGCTAAAAAGTGTCGACTGAGAGGCGCTAGATATAAGCTGTGACCTTGAAGAGCTCATACGCAGGGTTCATTTTAAGTAGAGGCGCCAAGTTTGTTCACTACTGATGAGGTTCTGAGAAGAGACAATGAGGAAGAGAGAGAAAGAGCATCGACGAAATTGGATGTATCACCAAAGCATTGTTTAACCCTTCACGGTGGAATAACGGTAACTTACTTACTTACTTACTCCTGTTATCCCCAAAGAATCATAGGCCACCCACCAGTTTTTTCCAATCAACTCTGTCCTAAGCTTTCCTTTACAGTTCTTTCCGGTTTTTGTTCATTCTTCGCATGTCTTTCTCTATTTCTCAGAGTATTGCGTTACTTGGCCTTCCTCTTTTCCTTTGACCTTGGGGGTTCCATGTGAGGGCTTGTTTTGTGATGCAGTTTGGCGCTTTTCCCTGTATGTGTCCTATCCACGTCCACCACTTCCTGATTTCGTCCTCCACTGGAATCTGGTCTGTCCTCTCCCACAGTGAGCGGTTGTTGCTAATGGTGTCTGACCAACGAATCCGACAACTGTTCAGAAATTTTTGTATCTTCTGGAGGATGGATTTGGTAGATCTCCACGTTTCCGCTCCATACAGTAGAACTGTCTTGACATTTGATTGATATTTGTTTGGAGTTCCAGATATTTTTCAAATGTAGAAATGCAGCCATTGAATTGCCGATCCGCGACATCACATCTGCATCGGATCCACTTTGGTTGTCAATGATGCTGTCCAGATATGAAAAGTTGTTAACGTCCTCCAAAAAATCTCCATCAAGAGTGATTTGGTTGGCGCATGTTGTGTTCTGTCGTAGAGTCTTGCTTCTCCCTTTGTGTATGTTGAGACCTACTGCTGCAGAGGCTGCTGCCACACTAGTTGTCTTCTCCTGCATTTGTTGTTGCGTGTGCGATAGTAAAGTCAAATCATCTGTGAAGTCTAGGTCGTCAAGCTGCATCCTGGCTATCCATTGGATACCATGCTTCCTTCCAGATATTGACGTCTTTCTAATCCATTCGATCACCAGGAGAGCGAGAAAGGGCGAGAGTAAGCAACCTTACCTGACACCGGTCTTCACCTCAAACGAGTTTGTCAGCTGTCGTCCGTGTCCGATTCTGAGGTTCAATCCATCTTAAGAATTCCGTATGATGTTGACTATCTTCTCAGGCGCGCCGTAGTGTCAACAAGTCTCTATGATGTTTTCCTGTCCACACTACCAAATGCTTTCTCGTAGTCGATCAAGCTGACATAGAGTGGTGAGTTCAATTTAATTGATTGTTCCACAATGATCAGTAATGTTGCAATTTGGTCGATACTGGATCGATCCTTTCAAAATCCAGCTTGTTGGTCTCGAAGTTGGGCGTCTACGAAGTCCTTCATTCTGTTTAACAATACCCTGTTGAAGACTTTACCTGCTATTGAGAGAAGAGTGATACCTATGTAGTTCTTGTTGAGATCGCCTTTATTTTAGTATTTCGATGAGGTATATCTCTTCCCAGTATGATCGCACTTGTTCCTCATCCCAAATGTTGTTGAAGAGAATGTGAAATATTTTCGCTGTTGCTTCCACGTCTTCTTTCATTGTCTCCGCTGGAATTTTGTCTGGTCCCACTGCCTTGTCGCTCTTCATTTGTCTGATGACCAATACTGATCTCTTCAATTGTTGTTGGACCAACATCGACTGGGAGGTCCGAGGATGCTGCTTCAATGTTAGGTGGATTCAGTGGAGGTGGTCGATTCAGGAGTTGCTGAAAGTGCTCTACCCACCTATTTCGCTGTTCTTCAGTGTAGCTGATTACTTTGCCTTCCTTGCTTTTGATTGGTCGTTCTGGTTTACGATGGTTTTCAGCGAGCGACTTTGTTGTATTGTGCAATTATCTCATATTTCCTTCTCTAGCAGACTTTTCTGCCATCATTGATAGATCTTCCATACATTTACGATTGTCAGCTCGGATGCTCCTCTTCGCTTGTTTGTTTGGTTCTGCGTATTCAGCTTGTGCCTTAGCTTTTTCTGCTCTTGTCCAGGTGATTATGATTCCTGCCCTCTTGTTCCTCCTTTCTTCAATTTTTCCAAGAGTACTAACAGAGATCTATTCCTTGTGGTGGTACTTCTTGTGGCCCAGAACTTCGTGACATGTTGAAGTGATTGCCTCTCTGATCCCATTCCAATTGTTCTCCAAGGTTGTTTCCTCTCCATTGAGTAGATCCTGAAAGGCCTGGAATCTATTGCTCAAGACTATCTTGAATTCGTTGAGTTTTACGGTGTCCCGAAGAAAGGCTGTATTAAACTTCTGTGATGTTGTCTGCCCCGTTGTCCAGTGTTTCCTGAGTTTCGGTTTCATTTTGGCGACCAGCAAGTGGTGATCTGAGGCTATGCCAGATCCTTTCTTGGTTCTCACATCCTTCATGTTCCTTCTGAATTTTTTTTTTGATACTTATACGGTCGAGTTGGTTCTGAGTAGTGTGATCCGGTGAAATCTATGTAGCTTTGTGTGTGCGCTTGTGTGGGATTATTGTGCCACCGATGACCAGTTTGTTGAAAGCACATAGGTTTGCAAATCTCTCACCGGTTTCGTTCCTTTCTCCCAGTCCATGTCGTTCCATGATGTCTTCATATCCAGTGATGTCCATGCCAACCTTGGCATTTAGGTCTCCCATCAGAATCGACAAATCCTTTGGTGAGCATCTGTCGACGATTGACTGCAGCCTTTCGTAGAATTGATCTTTAACGTCGTCATTGTAGGCATTAATAGGTGACGTTCATTGTAATGTCCTCCCTCTTTGTGTTGAAGGATGCTTTGATGATCCTGGGTCCATGAGATCCTCATCCTATTAATGCCTTTTGTGACTGTTTGGACATCAGTGCAACTCCCTGTGTGTGGGGGGTATTTTCTCATTCAGTGCCGGAGTATAACGGCAGTTCCCTGAAGCTAGTCTCAGTTGTCCTACCTGTATCCAAAGTGTTTCACTGATTCCGAGCACATCCAGGTTGTATCTTTTCATTTCTGCAGCAACTTGAAATAGTCTTCCAGTCTCCCACAATGTTCGAACGTTCCATTTATCTAAAAGAATGGTTGCTCTGGTTGTCAGAAGGGACATCGGTCCTGTTACTTCGGAGGTAACTCGGCTTTCATCACGCGACGTCATAATTCTTCTTCCAACTCGCAGGACAGAGTTAAAATGGTTTGGATAATTTTTTCTGGCTAGCGCTTTTTGGCGAGTTAGTTTTTTGGTGGGATGAGGGTGCCAATCCCCATGCCCACCCCTCCTCTAGATATCAATAATTGGGAGTTATTGCCTTTCAAACTTTCGTAAGATGTTCTCATTAACTTGGATCTATGACTACGGGCAATAAGTCGCAGATAAGGAAATCACGAACAGAACCGCAATATAGATGCAGAGAAAACGGAATCTGAAATCCATTAAACAGGATTGACGGTGTCAATTTCAGGGCTTTTTTGATGCCAGTCACATGTTGTACGCATTTTCAAGTACTCATCTAAAATTTTGTTCCAAAGTTTTGACAAAAACTCCTACCTGAGAGTGAGAAACTGAGACAATGCCAACGCTTGAGACTAAAGGAGATATTCTGAGGCAGATGTGACCATAATAATACAAGCTTGTCTGGAACACCCTTATCCATCCATGACCAAAACGAAACTCAATGTCTGGGAAACATACGCCCATCTCGCGGATTGGCATTAAGGAAAGTAAAATCTCTGCGGCCAGTAACTCCACAAGAATACGGCCGAACGTGCCTCACAGTTTTTAAGCAGTCTTAGGGGGCATCAGTACTCCATTTTGCGACATTTCGGATCCAACAGAATATTATAAACTTCAAGAAAAATGGAGTCAAGGCACCACCATTCACAGACGGAGACAAGGATAAGCCAAACGTATTGTATGTCAAATGCATAATTTCTGTTATTGGTTAAGTTAGTCGAGGGACTTCATTGAATAGATGAGGGGAGAAATGGAGAAGATCAATGCATTTCTTGAAAACAGAGTTTGTGCACCGATCTTCTTTCGTTTGTAGGACATCTAAACAGTTAGTTGGTTCCATCAACTTTACATCTCTGAAACATGCACTCACTCAGAAACTTCACCGTTTTAAACCAACGTCCTCAAGTAAAGTCCGCTTTCAAATGTCTCTTCAGAGTGCGATCTCGGTCTAATAGCCACAAACAGCCTGAATTTAACTTCATAGTACATAAAAAGAGCAGTATTGATTGATGTAACTCCTCACTGTATGCGAAGACTACTTGGTGCAGTCACCACACGATTGTTCCTAACTCTCCGTTTAATATACACACGACCACAGTGAAGTTCACGATGCCATCACACCACCTCTCCTTAAAAATCTCCCGAATCGACTACATAGATTGCAGCAAGATGTGAGAAAGGATTAAACAATTAACCTTACTAGGTCAGGCTCCAACACTTGAGATTATTTTCGCTAAGTTGTCGAACAGTATGAAGTGATCTGATGATAGCTTCTAACATAGTAAGTATGCAAAAACATCCGAATATCACAGTCACACTACTCGAGTGAGCCCTTGAAAAATTACACATCGAAAAGCATCTACACTGGCATGCCACCACTTTTAATTATTACGAGTTAGTTACATTTGGAATGCTTCCCCTGCCAAGGTAACAACAGCTTCAAGAGGCCACTTGACAAATAGGTACTCATTTACGTGTTATCATATCTTTCTTGGATCATATGTTGTTACGTCCAGTTTTTTGCTCGTTGATCTTTAGAAGCACAGTTGTCGATCTATTTGCAATTCACGATTCCAAATATTAAACCAAAAGGAAATTCCAAAGTAGATACCAAAGTTTATTCCAAATCACAAAATCGACCAAAATATGTTTATTACAAATAGACAACCAATGTCGTTCTTCTATTTTTATAGGTTTCTGGAGCAAAAAACTGCAAACGAACAACCAAGACAAACAGGAGTCCAAAAATGGCCGAAAATAATTATTCAAACATGTTCATAAGTAAAACAAATGCACCCAAAAAACACAGTGAAATTAATGATATATATATATATATAAAGGTTTTGATCAGCAAAATGTCTTCATTCCTCCCGTAACATATGTACCTGATGAAAGTCTGGACAATTCCTTCTTACATCATTAACACTTTCTCAGACCTATCACTGAGCTTCAAATGATTTAGCTGAATGGTTTCATCGCCAACTCAAAAGTGCATTTCGAGCACACGAAATCAACAATTGGCATGAAACCTTACCTCTCGTCCTCTTAAATATCAGAATGAGCTTAAAAGCTGACATTCAATGCTCAGCCGCCGAACTTGTATACCACAATGCAGTGCGTCTGCTTGAAGAATCGTTCACATGACGGGGCAATAATAATTTTGGTAAGTGAGACTAAGTCCAGCGATTAATATTAAAGAATATATTTGCTGATGATTTCGTGGTATCGAAAGAATACCGAAATCGCGCCAGAAAAGACGGACGAAATCATAGAGACAGTGTAGCCGAAATGGCAGCAGCACAAATAAAAGCTTGCGCGTATAGAAGTGTAATAGACAAAAAAGTACAGTTAAACAATCACTGGTTTTATTGGTTATAATAATGAATGTTTGTATTAAACCAATTACATTCTCTTCTTAAAAGTGGATTTGCTAAACTTTAATGGGTCTATGAGATACTCATCCATTACATCGTATAAACATTCCATGTATCTAATTAATTGGTTATTTTGGTTGTCAGAAGATGTATCGGACTTACAACTTTCGAAGAAACTCGTCCTTCATTACTAGGCTTTATAATTCTTTCAGACGAAGACCTGATTAACGTGTCTTCAGAGAGTTGGTTTTTTACGGGATTAAGTTGCTAACTCCACGCCCAACCTGACTCTTCTATACAGGCTCGGGACTGGCAGTCACCGCAGAGGGGCTCCAGACATATTGGCAGATTTATACAAGCTCAGAAATGCGACACTGCATATTCAAATACTGGAATAACGAAAAATTTTCGCATACTTTGAATCACTACTCACTGAAAGGAACCAATGATCAAAGATTAAGCTGAAACCAGAGGAAAGAAATATCCATAAGGACGTTAGTTTAGAAAAAGTAGTGCGCGTCATATAAACGGAAGGCCAAGGTCAGATGATTTAGCTTTTCTTTTTTGGTCGGATTTGTATCCCTTAATTTCTATTGGCTAGATCTTTGTCTTAGCCACAAAGCACTTGCCTTTCACTCTAAGTAAAAACATGCTGTACTCATTTCAACATGACCAATATAGTAAGAAATATCTCTAAGAATTAATAGAAAGTTTAATCACTCACTTTTGCGCTAGAATAATTTTGTCCAGATGAACATTTATTGGAAATCATCGTTAATGAAAATACGTTAAGGTTGTTCGTTCTGACTCGCAGCAGAATTAATTAACTGCGTTCAAAACTTGTCTTTACATCCTAGTTCCTGGAAAACTACTTTTGTTCAACATTAGCTTCCATCTGTGACTTATCAGAAGTAAGCAGAAACTGTTTAGTGAATCTGAAAATTTCTCTCATACAAGCTAAAGATAAACAGTGTGAGTTAATGTGTTCAAAACTAGATGTTTTCAAAAATATATATCTATATATACTCGTTATGAAACGATAGTGCAAGATTCGGCGATTAAAATAATGATTACAACCATATTTTTTGTAAAAACTGTGCTAACAACCCACTAACATCAATAAACTCAGCGAGGTCCATGTGTTTACGCATAAAATAAACAATCGAAATCGGGTTTCAATGTGTAAATTTGGACTATCTCCTTCCCATTCTTGGTGATTGTGAAATATTTGTCTGCTCTATGAAAAATTTCAAAAAGTCCTTCAAATGAGTGCTGCAAATAACATGTAGCTCTTTCAATCAGGACGTACGAAAACTTTTATGTGCTTAAGGGTTTGCTTGTTCTAGCATTGATAGGAATTTATCGAGGTTCTACAGTCCTTATTTTGTTCGTAAGCCTCGTTAGTCATTCGTGAATATACGTAACAGCATTTACAGCTTTGCATTTGGGCGCTTAAAATTATCCCCGAAGTGCCAAATAATTCAATAAATTATCTACCTTCATTGTTGATAGGACGCCAACACTGATTCAAAGCAACATTCACCCTTTCAGACTGTATCCTCTTCAGACATCAGAGCGCTTCTAAGTTAGTTGTAGGATCGCTCCACAAAACAATTCGCTGCTGGATGTTATAGCAACTGTGGTAGTATGGCTCGTCAAATATATTCGATCGAAACTGTGACCCTTTGGCTAAAGTAACTGTTAGAGGCACACCAAAACTTAGAATCCATCTGTCCAGGAAGATTTTAACGATAGTTTTGACCGAAATAATATACACCGAACAAGAGTATCAAATCAGTCAACTATCTTGAGTATGTTGGTGAAACTGTAAGATCAGGCTAACGGATGTATCAAATGGATGTGAATATGTTCTAAACGTGGCCTTTAATAAACCAAATTTTACTGGGTTTTGAATAGTGTGTGTTGGTTTTACCACGTCGATATTAAACGTAATTGCATGTATATCTCTTGATCTCTACATCCATTCTGTTAGTGACGTATCTTTTTGAGATTAGCTTTATGGTAGCAAAAGCTCCATGATGAGATAACTGCTAGAAACTTAACAGCTAGAGAGTTGTTTTGTTTGCCTAGGAAATCGAGGTTTTATAAATGCTTATTCATTATGTAGGACTTTTAACCACTATTTGTTGTCTCCGGTTTTAGGATAGTCACAGTACTCTTATTATATCTGTTTTAATGCTTCAGCCATTTATCAGACCGGGTTGGTTTGTTTGATATTTTATCATACTAGTAATTTATAACTATGAAGTAAGCATCGATTTTGCTCTGATTATCACTCATCGTACTAATTTTAAATTTTATATTTACTGTTCTATTTTTAGAATGCTTGATGAAGGATTTCAGTCTGCTTCTTTATCATCTGAAATTTCTCATGGATCACCGTACAAACGATCTTCCGATGTAGAAATAGGAAATGACTTAAGTTCCAGTGTTGTTTTCTCAACTGATTTCCACAAGTAATTGTACTTTTTATAAATTTCACACTTTCGTTGGATTCTGGATATGTCTTTACACACAAAATTTGTGGGAGTTTTATCATTATATTTATGAATAAGTTCGAAAAGCTGAGTTGTGTGAACATGGAGTTATATTTTTATGTCAATGAACAGAACTGACTTAAACTAAATTATGTGTATGCTATTGTTTAGGGGTGGCCTGTTTTTAGCGAACCAGAGGTAATGAAAGAAATTTCTTGATCGTTTTTTTCATTATATACTGGCATTCTGAGATAGCAAAACTTTTATCCACCTACTTAATGTTGGAACTAGTTGTTTAATCTCTGAGCTTTTACTGCCACTCTAGATAATATAGCCAGTACTAGCTCCGTACAGAAGTAGGCTTGTCTATTTCACGAATCGTAAATCAGTTTCGTCTGATGGTCTTGATTATAGATGATTTTCGTCGTAGGTATTGTTGTTCTCAGTTTTCACAGTATCTCAGTGGACTATTTAGTCTCATCGAGCTTTGGAACTGTACCTACACTCGTAATGAGTTAATAACAGTAACCGCAATGGAGGTTTTTTGAGTTGTTTAATCATAAGCTAGTTGGACGTCAAACTGTTACTTGATAAATTAAAACCATCTTATTATTGCTTATATTTTCCTTAATATTGAGATCTATTTCAATAATAAATTAATTAAATTTAATTATTAATTTGTAGATTTGATGATTTGAAAAACTTACTAGATAACACCAAAGATGCCGTGAAATTAGGTGCAATGAAACGGATTATCGAAGTAAGCATATTGCACAATATTAATCTTAGGAAATTAAACACTTTTTCAGATGGTTGCCGGAGGTAAAGATTGTTCTGATCTATTCCCAGCTGTAGTGAAAAATGTAGTTTCAAAAAATACTGAGGTAAAATTGTCATATATACCATACTGTTTGTATCGTGTGATTTGACATTAAGAAGCTTGTTAAATATATATATATATATATATATATATATATATATATATAATTGTCTAATAATTGCTATTTATCTGAATACCATATATTCAGAACTTCTCTGGCGTTATTTAAAACTTATTAATACAGGATTTTAACGTTTTTCCAATGGGATTCGTATCTGAGCTTGTCAAAGTTTCACATTTAATACTGTAGTCATGATTATTGAACTGGAGATTGTTGGTTAAGATGTTTAAATTACAACCACCCTATTGCATCCACTCCGCTTCGGTAAAACGAGTAGTATCACGAATATTCACACTTAGACTACGCCTTATTGTAGTCAATCAAATACACGAATCTAAATACCTGATTAATGAGTTAATTAGTAAAAAAACTGGTCATAATTTGTCAAAATGTTATCCCATTATACTTATCAGTTAATTCAATTGTCATTTGTTTTTCATTTATACAAATATATTTAGATTCGAAAACTTGTCTATGCTTTTTTAACTCATTATGCTGAACAAGAACAAGATATCGCTCTTTTATCGATATCAACATTTCAACGAGCATTAAAAGTAAGTGTAACATTGTAAGATTGATTTATTTATTCTGTGTATGTATCATCCAATCTAGGGTTATACTCTTTCTATTACATCATGTTTATTCAATCTTCATATGTCCTTATGGAAGTAATAATGGAAATATATATATACTTACTAACTCTTGTCACCTCCAATGGAGCATAGACCGCCGACCAGTATTCTCCATCCTACTCTGTCCTGGGCTTTCTTTTCTAGATCTGTCCAATTTTCGTTCATTCTTCGCATATCTTTCTCTGTTTTTCGGCGTAATGTGTTCCGTGGCCTCCCTTTTTTCCTTTGACTTGAGAGTTCTAAGTGGGGACTTGTGATGCAGTTGGATGTTTTCCGCAATGATATATATATATATATATATAACAATTTAATTGAGTTGATTGTGAAGATTAGTTTGGTTTCAAAATAATTATCACAACACATTTTTATGTCTATAATAGGTTAGTTATTTTCTGTGTTCATGGCTGATTACGATTTGAGTGTATTTGTAATTGTTTGTTGTTTAATTCCAATTCAAAGGTTTAAGTAAATGTATATTCACACATTTGAAATCATCAATCAATCATCGTTAGACCACCATTAGAAACCTGGGAGCACTAGATGGCTGTTTCATCCTGGTATGGGACTCATCAGCGGTGCGCATCCACAACTCCTGCTCCTCGCAGGATTCGAACCCGGTGCCTTCGGTATTGTGCGCGAACGCCTAACCATCGGACCACTGGGCCGGCATCCAACGGTGTTAATGTCTAACTCTGACTGATCTAGGGATTTTGCGCGACCTCACCCATTTGTCTTTGGTAGTTACTGCCTACACCCGACAGGGTTCAACTCCATTGGTCACGTCTTCTCAACTAGAACTCTGAGAATTTCCTCACGAAGCTAGTCACTAGTGAGCACTGTTACGATATTTTGGGGCACAGTTTTTGGAGGTTTGCGTTTTTAGTTGAATAACAACTGGTAATGTGATGACATCAATCATTGATTGATGATTTCAAATGTGTAAAAACGCAAACCTCCAAAAACTGTTCCCCCCCCAAAAAATGTATATTCGCCGTTAAACCTAAAGTTCCTTTATCCAAATGTTGTCGTAGTCATTCACATTCACCAGTTTAATAGAGAAGTTTCAAACTTGCATGAAACAACTATTTAATTCTCTTTTTGTCTTTCTATGTAGTTCTCCACTTTCCTATTGATTGATGATGAAAGCTAGACCCAAATTGATAAATTGTCAGAATATAGTCTATTTTTAAATTCCAATACAGATCAGCAAAAATGTCATCACATTCTCAGTTGTTATTCAACTAAGTAACGTGTAGGAATTTATTTATGTGTAGTTTTGTTTTCATTTAAACTGACCTCAGTCATGAAAAACGGAATGCCATATAATGATGTAATTGATGATAGAGTTTTTCAGGATTTCATTCAAAGTGTTGCTTGTGAGCCCATCAAAATTAGACGTGTTAATGTAGATTCATTGTTGATTATTACTTTGTAGCATTGCTCGTATATCGTGGGACACCCGAGTGAGCAACGCTGTTATTGGGAATCGGGTGCTAGGTAAGAATGGCAGATCAATAGATGAAGTAATGAAACTTCATCAGTTGAGATGGTTGGGACATGTGCTGCGTATGTCTAACTACCGACTGTCTCGACAAGCTTTGTTTTGTAGTGTAGGAATAGGTTGGAAGAAAGTTAGGGGCGGCCAAACCAAAACATGGCAGAAATCCATGAAGTCATTGACAAGTGGACTTAGCCATGTCGGTAATTGTCGACTACCTGGTTGGGGTCCGCGAGATGATAATAATCGATGGTTAGAGACGTTGAATGACATGGCTCAAAATCGTTCGCAATGGCGCCGGTGCATTTATGCTTTGTGTTCTCTCAAATCCTAATCTTCTGGGTTCTTCAACAACTCTAGTTTTGACTTTGTAAACTTTTCTCATTAAATCATACTTCTTGAATAATATCTTCTCATCCTAACCTCTCCGATTACCCCTAATACCTTTACTACCTCTTCTTTTATTGGATTTGAATTGACAATTATATCTCTGTGCTGATGTGGTATGGCAACATGAACTGATGTACTTACGTACGAAGTTCTACGTTGCATCTGACTGACTGACTGACAGACAATGATACAGACTAGTACTGAAATAATCTTTTATATTTAGGGGCAGAATGACACATCTTACTTTGTAGCTGATATTGCCTGAAGTTGAATAAAGTCGTTTATTGGATTGTGACATAATGAGTCATTACGCTTTAAAATCGTGTTCCTTATTGAGGTGAGGGCACCCATTACTAGTTAAATAGACGGTTGAACAATATTTGTTGTATAATGATTTCTGATCTTAAATAGTTAACTTGATGAAAAGCACTTACATAATTTGAATATTTGCAATTATAATATTCAAATCAGAACTGTAAATAACTTCCAGTACTATTGTTATCGTAAAACTTGTGAATAAATGTATTTTTCATGTTTCTATTGAGTTTAGATTTTCAAATCGAATTGCTTTAATTTTATATATTAGATAATTTAGTTTAGTTGATAGAAGAATATTCTTAATTAATGTATTTGTTTCACAACAGTGGTTTAGCTGTTAAAGCACTTGTCTTTCAACCAGTTGACCACAGATTCGAACCCCGTTCCGCTGATATAATAGGTCTGAACAACTGAAAAGTATCATTAACCCTCTTTTACACATACTAATGTGGCTAAAGCCGAGAATATGAACACGTCTTTGATGAATGAGTCAGTCAAAAAATGTCTGTTATTCTGTTCAGTTACTTGGAATATGTCTACTTATTAGTACCCGTGCTGTTGAAGTCGTTGGTTTTACCTCCGTTTAACTCACTACTGTTGTGTGATTTATTATTCCTAACTCATTCCTAGTTTACTATTTACAACTTCTTTTGAATCGCTCATGTTTAGATATATTTTCTCATTTTATGGTGTAATTAGGTTTGGTAGGTTTGGTGCATTAAGTATGTCTGTTTGTAATATAATGGAATTTTGTGAAGTCTGTCTACGGACTTCTGGACTAAGAGACCAAGTAGAAAGGAAGAAACTACCAAGTTTTGGATCACTATGGATTTCTAGTTGGCTCATGATTTCTGGTGCTAACGTAATCCTGATGTGTTTTGCATTTGTCATATATGATATTGATTAAGGGTTAGGGATCAGTATGTTGTCGTTTGAAAATATATACACGCAAATTACCAAATCAAATCATGCATGCTTACTGCTAAGTATTCCAACACTGTGGGAAATTGAGACAGCTAACTGATACCTTCTAGTTTTCTGCTTTTTCATCAAATTGTATCAGTCCTAGAGCATACACGAAAATGTTATTGAATAATCGTATAAGGAATAATCGATGTTAGCAAATGTCCACTGAGATTAAAGTTAAATACACCATAGATACTTGTATTTCGTTCATCTTATGTTACTCAGTGATTTTCTGTACTCTTCTCTCTCAGATTACAATGTTGTAGGCTTCGTAGCGGTATCAGTTAGTAGATAAAAAAAAACTGAACAGTTTTCTTGATGAGCAATTGCCTTAAGAATTTGTATCTTCCATCTAAACTTACGTCATTCACATCAGTTCTCTTTTAATATAGCTCCATTAAATTAATATTCACTTAACCAATCATGAACTATTGCGATACTGTTTAAATGGTATACACACAATTAATTACACATCATACTTTTCAAACCTTTTAGTTTTTTTTAAATGTTTTTGTTTTTTTATCAAACAAAAAAAAAATATTCACAGGATTCTAACCAACTTGTTCGGGCTTCATCTCTACGTGTTTTATCATCGATTCGCATTCCACTTATATTACCTATTGTTACTTTAGCAATTCAAGATGCTTCAAAAGATCTCTCTCCGTATGTACGTAAAACTGCAGCTCATGCTATTTTAAAAGTTTATAGGTTAGTGCAATTGCAAAGTGATGTCATATGTTAAATTCTATGTAACGTTTTTTTTATCTATGTATTCAATCAACACCACTGTTGATTCCTTCCTAATGTATCAGTGTTGTTTCTCTGTATGGCAGATCGATTCATTGCCATCGACCAGGATTCTCCATCCATCTCTTTTCTAGACTCTCTCCCCAATTACTATTCATTCTTTTATTGAGTTTCAAATGTTCTTCACTTGTAGAAATGCTACCCATGCTTTGTTAATCCGTGTCATCACATATGAATCAGATCCACCTTGTTTATCAATGATACCGCTTAGAAATGTAAAGGTTTCTGTATCTTCCAAAGCTTCTCCATCAAGTGTGATTCGGTGGGTGCAGGTTGTGTAGTATCGGAGAATTTCGCTTTTTCGCTTATGTATTTTAGGCCTACTGCTGCGGAGGCTACCGTTACACTGGCCATCTTCTCTTGTACTTGTTGTGTGTGGGATAAAAGAGCCAGATAGTTCAGCTGCATCTGAGCTATTCACTGTATGCCATGCCTCCCCTCAGATGTTGGCGTTTTCATAATCGAGTCGATCACGAAAAGAAAGAAATAGGGTAAGGGTAAGCAACTTTGTCTGGCACCGGTCTTTGCGTCAAGCGAGTCTGTCAGCTGCCCTCCATGCACGATTTTGCAGTTTAATCCATTATGAGAATTGTGTATGATGTTGACTGTCTTCAGAGGTACGCCGTAGTGTCAAATACCCTGCATATTGTCATCCTGTCCATGCTGTCCAATGTTTTCTCGTAGTCAATGTAGTTGATGTAAAGTGGTGAGTTCTATTCAATTGATTGTTTCACTTCGATTGATTGTGTCGCGATTCAGTTGATACGTGATCTATCTTTACCGTGATGTCGAAGTTGGGCGTCTACCGAGTCCTTTATTCTTTGCAACAACACTCTGTCGGAGACTTTTCTTGGTAATGATAGCAATGTGATGCCGGAATTCTACCAGGTCATCTGCATCTACTGATATACCTCACACCAACAGTAATTGACTGTTTCGATATCTTAATTTGGCCTGTCATAGCTTTCTTCCTACCTAGTTGTACTACACTGCAAAACATCGTTCATCGACGTGGATAATTACAAATGTTCTAACCACCTCAACTGATGCCGATATTCAAACTCACAAAATGTTAACCGGTTAATTATTGAACGCTAAAAAGTGTTGGATAATTATTTCTTTGTAGTATTTAACAGTTTTTCGGCAGTACACTCGATTACTCTCTCTGGGAATATCGCGTGAGACATAAAGCCATTGAATAAATCTATAAATGTAAGAAAAGTCTATTTTTGCCTAACTAATGGATTGTTATTAATTATACATTGCAGCTCCGATGGTCCTGTTCACTTCGTTTGCCTCCTAGTTATCTTTTGATATTTGGCACCAAATGTGATCCTATAGTGTTGTAATAATAATAATAATCGACCAACCGTACATTATCCATCCATTGACTATCACATTATGATAATGATCTATGTTGTTCTGCAGCAATTAATCTATGCCATTATTACACATTTAAAACCATCAATCAATCATTGTTAGACCACCATTAGAAACCTGGAAGCACTGGACGGCCGTTTCGTCCTGGTGTATGGGACTCATCAGCAGTGCGCATCCACGACTCCTGCTCCTCGCAGGATTCGAACCCGGGACCTTCGGCATTGTAGGCGAACGCCTTACCATCGGACCACTGGGCCAGCATCCAACAGTGATTGATGATTTCAAATGTGTAAAAACGCAAACCTCCAAAACTCTGCCCCAAAATATGCCATTATTATTATTAGTTCAACTGTTTGCTTGTGATATTTTCAGTTAAGTATACATCTAGTACTCCTGGTTTGTTTAGTGCATTGACAGCCGAGTGTCAATTTTGTTATAATCTGTAAATTTTTTACATCAATGATAGCATAATTGAAGTTTTGAGTTATACATTATTTGATTGCTTTTAAATAATATATCAGATAGTTTAAGCTTAGTTGATCACCTCTTAGTGTACTGATGTGAAGTGGGACAACTTGAGTTAATAATAATGCACATTTCGGCCAAATTCTATGCTGATAATAATGGTTGGAAATATATCGGAATAAAAATAGAACTCATTTGACATGATGCAGAATTCATAGCCCCGCTTCTTTTTTTCTCTCTTTCCTTTCTTCAAATTTATTCAATCAATCATTTTGTAAGGATTTACTTTAACTTTATTTAAATTTCCATTTAGTTCATATTGTTTATTATAATTGAATACTACTCATTGTTTGTTTACTAGTTTGGATCCAAACGAGAAAGATATCTTGATTGAAATAATTGATCGTTTGTTAGGCGATAAAACTACTGTAGTTGTTGGTAGTGCTGTACGTGCATTTGAAGAAGTCTGTCCTGAACGTCTGGATTTAATACACAAGTAAGCAACACTCAGTTGTTTTCTTTTATGTCGACCTTTTAGTTGTTGCATTTTCAAGTCTGAATTTCATATTTTACAGCATCGACTGATTTTAGCCAAACAACCGTTCAAAATCATGAAGCATTGGACTACGATTTAATTCTAGTATGAACTGACAGTCGCGTCTATGTGCTGATGTGGTATGGCAATCTGAACTGATGTACTTACGTACGAAGTTCTGCGTTGTATCTGTCTGTCTAGTATGATACTTTCTCAACAGGACTCATCAACGACCCAGCTGTGACTCTAACCAATGACCTTAAAGGTTTTGAGCTAGGGGATAAAGCATCCTAACATTTAGCCACCATCCAGTAGTTCGTATAACTAACTTCAATTCATTCGTGGTATCGAAACGAGCGATCAGACACACGTTAGGTATAGTCTCTTCGTTTCAAGCTCCAGCCTACCACAATGATGATGACACTTGAAAGTTAGGTAGAATGCTAACCAACACAATGGATTATTTATCTACCTATGTGGTGCACGCTACTTATAAGTAGTATATGACGCGAGTGTAAACGTAATGTCTGGCAGCAGAAGATGAGGGAAGATCAAGAAAGGAAAAGTGAGAACACAATGGAATTTGTATGAAACGCATGAATAGTGAAATGTCAGACAATGCATTGATGATGGATTGATGTTTTGCAAATTAACCGTTTACGATATGGTTTTCCTATTTTACTGAGTAACTCTGTAATTTTCGTTAAATACAATTCGGTTGCCGTCACCTGTCTCCTCCTTCACTACACCTAGAGAATGATACAGACTAGTACTGAAATAATCTTTTATATTTAGGGGTAGAATGACACATTTTATTAATGTGAATTCACTAATTTTTCTTACTAGAAAGGAAAGTTATCTTAAAAACTAACTTGTTATTTTTTTGTCATAAATCAACTTCTTTTGTTTTACTTCACGAAGTGACCTTAAGTAAATAACCTTTAAACCAAGAAGTATTAGGTGACTGCTTCGTCGTAATATATTGGACTCTTGAACAGTGCTCACCGACGACGCCTTCAGGTCTTACTGCGAACACTTAAACAATGAAGCTGCTCTATCAGCATCCAATGGTTTATGTTTTTGATAGCGTCTGTCAATTTATGATGTTACCTAAATATAAACTGACCTACTGTCGACATAACTGAGCTCCTTGTCAAAAGTGCGAGAATCGTCTCTGAAAATTAGTCACAGGCTCATGAGCACTACCGAGAAGTCCCATCATAGTTCCTAGCTTTCAACATCCGTCTTACCATTGTCAGTTTCTAATGTAGACTTTGAAATTCAACACTCTCCGCGTACCCGTTACATTAATACTGACTTATATTAATTTTCATCTTTGAGTGGTTATATTTTAAAGGACTTAAGTATTTCTATGGTGTTTGTGAGGTAGATATACGCCTTTTCATTTGTGAACTTATAATTATGAAGGTGTTTCTTGTATACAATGATGTTTATTTTAAGTAAATAGGAACGAATACATTCAAGTAACTCAGAAGCCTCAAGTAAATTGGCTAATTACAAAGCAATAATTTTTGTAAACATGATGTTGACTTTGATCAAAATTATCTGGGAACAGATTTTTAAATCATTATTCTTTGATTTGTAATGTTCGAAATGGGCTCTATGTTGATTGCATTCATAGCAACTGATTCACATTATCTCACATGCCATCAATATCAGATATAAATCAAATTACTTTCTGTGTTAATTTGTCTTCCTAGATTAGTTGGAAGTTTCAGTTCAGTGAATTATCTAACGTGGGGTTTAGTGAATCTACGCTTCGAACTTTTGTGTTAGTCTGTTCGCTTCGTCGAATTACTTGACATTCCTACTATATATCTCACGCTTCTCACCCCCATTGGAGCATAGGCCACTGACCAGTGTTCCCCAACCTACTCTATCCTGGGCTTCCCTTTCCAGTTTTGTCCAATTTTTGTTCATTCTTGTCATATCTTTATTTCTCAGCGTAATGTGTTACTTGGCCTTCCTCTTTTCCTTTGACCTTGAGGGTTCCAAGTGAAGACTTGTCTTGTGACTTAGTTGGGTGCTTTCTGCATTGTGTGTCCAATCCACGTCCACCGCTTCTTCCTGATTTCCTCCTCCGCTGGGATCTGGTTTGTTCTTTCCCACAGTAGATTTTTGCTGATGATGTCTGGCCAACGTATCTGAATTATTTTGCATAGACAACTGTCGATGATGTCCAGATATGTAAAGGTGTTAACGTCCTCCAAGGCATCTTCATCAAGAGTGATTTGATTGGCGCATATTGTGTTGTATCGCAGAATCTTGCGTTTCTCCTTATGAATGTTGAAACCTGCTAATGCTGAGGCTACTGCTACACTGGTCGTCTTCTCTTGTATTTGTTGTTGCGTGTGCGATAGAAGACCCAGGTCATCTGCGAAGTTCAGATCGTCCATCTGCATCCTGGCTGTCCATTGGATAGCGTGCTTTTCTCCCGATGTTGACGTCTTTATAATCCAATCGATCTCCAGGAGAAACAGAAAGGTTGAGAGTAGGCAACCTTGACTGACGCCGGTCTTCACACCAAACGAGTCTGTCAGCTGTCCTTCATGCACGATTTCGCAGTGTAGTGCATTATAAGGATTCTGTATGATGTTGACTACCTTCTGAAGCACACCATAGTGTCGTCGTATCCACGCTATCAAATGCTTTCTCGTAGTCAATGAGTTACTATATATCTTATCCACAGCATATCACCGTCCATCTTTTCAACATAGTAAACAAATTTAGTGTAATTTATGTCAAACAATATTTTGTTTTTGTAACTTCTTTTATTTTAGAAACTATCGTAAACTATGTAATGTAGTAATGGATGTAGATGAATGGGGTCAAGTTGTTATATTGTCAATGCTGACACGTTATGCTAGAACACAATTTCCCAATCCTGAAAAACCATTAATTACAGTAAGTTATAAATGTTTTGTGTATGTAACTTGTTCACAAATTAATTCACCTTCTCAATTACTGTAATTCAATTATGTTGTATAGCAAATCTGCAACAGAAGTTCTCCTGAATACAACACCTACGAAACCCGAATTTTTTGAAGAGTGTTTTTGTTAGATGATCTATGTAATCTGTTAACCTTTAAACTGGTTCTTTTTAAATTCTCAGGTAGAAAATGCTGATTCTTCAACTCCTGGAAATCTTTCATCCAATCAAGCAGATGTTAGTCAATCCAAGTCGATTCCGGTTGCAGGCAACGACAATAATCATAATTGTACATTGTCGAAATCAAATTCAATTATTACTACATCTGAGACATCAACTGCATATTCCATGTCTGATGCTTTACCCATACTGAATGCTGATCGAAATTCACTTTTGCATGCTGCACGCTATTTATTACACAGTCATAATTCAGCTGTATGTGTGTAATATTTTGATATTTTCAGCATTATTTTTCATTTTTATTGAATACTCGAACCGATCTGAATTAGAAAACTATTAAAAACCTGAAGGTATTGAACAGCCATTGAACAGTACGCATTCACGACTCCACAGTTGGGAATTGACTCAACATTTTCTCTCCCTCACGTGATCGCTTAATCTCTAGACCACTGAGCTGTGATCCAATGGTTTTTGAGGCTAACTTGATTCAATCCATTATATTGCGTGACCATCTTCCGTTGTCTTCAGTAAGCATATTTCTCACACCCGACACATTGAAATCCATCGGTGGTGGAGAAAACTTGTAGCTCATGTTGATGATTGTGGTGGTGTTTTGTTCTCTGAGCTGGTTGTTTTGGTTGTGGAGCTTTCATTGTTCTCCTGCTGAACAACATCATCAGCACAAACTTCAGATAGAAGTGAAGCATTCGAATTTCTCCACGTTTGACCTGTAGCTTGTTCGAATGCTTCACTTCTATCTGAAGTTTGTGCTGATGATGTTGTTGTTCAGAAGAACAATGAAAGCTCCACAACCAAAACAACCAGCTCAGAGAACAAAACACCACCACAAATCCATCGGTAACTGTTTCTCCTTAGAACGCCGGAAATTTCTTCTCAAAGCATATAAATATATGATAATTGTCATTTTGACTGTCTTTTCTCAAATTCGTATCAAGTGTGTTATAATTGAAGAAATTTCATTGATCAGTCATCTCATTTTTTCATATACTCTGACTTGGTAATTTTGTTATGGAATAGGATTTTATGATTTTATGAACAAATTTTCAATTGGTTAGACTAATTAATCAAATGTTTATATATATAGAAGATGTACAATTGTCAGAAGTGATCAAGTGAAAGGTGCTCGCAATATTAAACTTTTAACGTAAGCTCCTGATTGTACTGAGGTCAACAAACAGATTAGCTACTCAAGGAAATAGATTTCTTTCTTATAATATATCACTGTTGTATATAAACCATCATTAACAAAATAAATATGATTCGTCGTCGTCGTAAGGATCGATCGTGTACTGACCAAATTGCTACATTACGGATCATTGTGGAACAATCAATTGAATGGAACTCACCACTCTACATCAACTTCATCGACTACGAGAAAGCATTCGATAGCGTGCATAGGAAAACACTGTGGAGGCTTCTTCGACACTACGGTGTGCCTGAGAAAATAGTCAACATCATACGGAATTCTTATGATGGATTCAACTGCAAAATCGTACACGGAGGTCAGCTGACAGACTCGTTTGAGGTAAAGACCGGTGTCAGGCAAGGTTGCTTACTCTCACCCTTTCTCTTTCTCCTGGTCATCGACTGGATTATGAAGACGTCAACATCTAGAGGGAAGCACGGTATCAACTGGACAGTTAGGACGCAGCTGGACGATCTGGACTTCGCAGATGACCTGGCTCTTCTATCGCACACTCAACAACAAATACAAGAGAAGACGACCAGTGTAGCAGCAGCCTCTGCAGCAGTAGGTCTCAACATACATAAAGGAAAAAGCAAAATTCTCCGATGCAACACAACATGCACCAACCGAATCACGCTTGATGGAGATACCTTGGAGGACGTTAACACCTTCACATATCTTGGCAGCATCATCGACGAGAAAGGTGGATCGGACGCAGATGTGAGGGCGCGGATTGGCAAAGCGAGGGCTGCATTTCTACAGTTGAAAAATATCTGGAACTCCAAACAACTTTCAAACAAAACCAAAATCAGGATCTTCAATACAAATGTCAAGACAGTTCTACTGTATGGAGCGGAAACATGGAGAACTACCAAAGCCATCATCCAGAAGATACAAGTGTTTATTAACAGTTGTCTACGCAAAATACTTCGGATTCGTTGGCCAGACACCATCAGCAACAACGAACTGTGGGAGAGAACAAGTCAGATTCCAATGGAGGAGGAAATCAGGAAGAAGCGGTGGAAATGGATAGGACATACACTACGA